GAAAGGTAGTGGGGTAGCACTTGCCTAGAATGATAAAGAAGCAGTGGTATGAGGTAAAATACATCCATGATGAACAGTAACTAATATCACTTTGAACGAACCTACAATATGGAGGACCAAGTGTAAATTTGTCTGCTATTTACATAGACTGTAAATGGCAGATAAACAATGAACCATAAATCATGGAGGTGATGGAGATTGTAAACAGCCAAGAACAAGACAAATAAATGGCCACTTATTGCTACCCACATGAGCTGACTCTGCACATAATATAAAAACTAAATACAATGACCTCCCTCGAATTTAAATCTCGGTAACTCAATTCTTCGGGTAACACCTACCTACCTGTTGACGATTTCGGAGATCAGTGGCCCCATGACCTGGTCTCTGACCAGGCCTCTGAACACGGCAAAAATTGCGGTAACGTTTGACCATCTCATGATTCAGATAAAACCTGAATTATGCAGCTTAGCAGTTGGGTAACAAATAGATTAAAACATTGTATAGACTTTGTTATTTAAGCAAAGTAATATTGAATACAGTGGCACCTCGATTAACGAGTTTAATCCGTTCCGGTACCGAGCTCGTCATGTGGAAAACTCGTCTTGCAAAACAACAAAACTGTCATTAAAGGTGTCCGAGAACCAGCGAAAATGCTCGTTAATCGAGGAAAAGCTCGTTAGTAGAGACAAATGTCCTGCGAGTGGCTTGTTTGTTATTCAAAATGCTCGTAGATAGAGCCGCTCGTTAATCAAGGTGCCACTGGATTACAACCACTGTTAGGAGTATTGTACTTGTATTTCCCTGCTAAAAAAATCAACCTGTCCTGACTGTGAGCTAGGCATAGTTTTCTGCCCTCTCACGTGATACAAGAAAACACTCCCAATTTGAAGCATTTTCTTTATTTAAATTTGATCTTTAATATAAAATTAGCTCATTTTAGTAAACAAGATGTATACTGTATAAGAAAGAGTTATGACGTATACACAGCTTCATTTACATACTGTAAGGTACTGGTACAATGCAGTATTCAAATCTAAGGATGATCAAGAGTGCTACACTGAAAATATTAAATACTGTATGTCTATTATACAGGTACCTGTACAGTATATTGCAAATGCATGAAATGCAAATTTACATTGTGGTAAAAAAAGTATACAAAAATTATTACTTTGCATGCTTCTTAATAAATTTGGGTAATATGGAACTATGGGTGGTATCACAGATTAGTAATAAACTGTACTGATCCATTTTATTATATATATATTAAATTTAGAAAGTTCACTTTTCAAACAGAGTGGTAGACAGTTGGAACAAGTGAGAGGGTGATGAAGGGCAAAACCCGCAGTAGTTTCAAAGCATCATGTGAGAAAGAGTATTGGGAAGGCACAACATAATGAGCATAGCTCTCATCCTGTAACTACACTTAATTACACACACACACACACACACACACACACACACACCATTGCAGAGATGGTCAGAGAAATGGCTACTAGAATTCAACACGAGCAAATGTAAAGTTATGGAAATGGGACTAGGAGATAGGAGACCAAAGGGACAGTACACAATGAAGGGGAACAGCCTACCTGTAACGACGCGTGAAAGAGACCTGGGGGTGGACGTAACACCTAATCTATCTCCTGAGGCACATATTAATAGGATAACGACAGCAGCGTACTCTACACTGGCAAAAGTTAGAACATCATTCAGAAACCTAAGTAAGGAGGCATTTAGGGCGCTTTACACTGCCTACGTAAGGCCAGTCTTAGAGTATGCCGCCTCATCATGGAGTCCCCATCTGAAGAAGCATATAATGAAACTGGAAAAGGTTCAGAGGTTTGCAACGAGACTCGTCCCAGATCTACGAGGGATGGGGTATGAAGAGCGCCTGAGGGAACTGTGCCTTACGACACTAGAAAGAAGAAGGGAGAGGGGGGACATGATAGGAACGTATAAGATACTCAGAGGAATTGACAGAGTGGACATAGACGAAATGTTCACACGGAATAGTAACAGAACGAGAGGACATGGATGGAAGCTTGAAACTCAGATGAGTCACAGAGATGTAAGGAAGTTTTCTGTTAGCGTGAGAGTAGTGGGGAAATGGAATGCACTTCAGGAACAAGTTGTGGAAGCAAATACTATTCATAATTTTAAAACCAGGTATGATAGGGAAATGGGACAGGAGTCATTGCTGTAAACAACCGATGCTCGAAAGGCGGGATCCAAGAGTCAATGCTCGATCCTGCAAGCACATATAGGTGAGTACACACACACACACACACTAGATTTAGACTAAACTGAACAAAGTTGCCAAAGAAATATAAGAAAATTCACTTTTGCAAACAGAGTGGTATGACGGTCGGAACAAGTTAGGTGAGCAGGTGGTGGAGGCCAAAACCGTCAGTAGTTTCAAAGCGTTATATGACAAAGAGTGCTGGGAAGACTGGACACCACAAGCATAGCTCTCATCCTGTAACTACACTTAGATAACTACACACAGTTATATAATTAGTGTCATGGCTCTGTACAATTTTTTTTTTAATATCTGCCTTTAAATTACATGTAATTATTTTTTTTCCATAATGCCATAAGTTAGGCTCCTAACTATGGCTCAAGAATGGCATATTTGGTCAGGATATAATCAGTTCGAAGAAACAACGATCACAAAGTACATAGCAAGCTTAGAATATATGAATCCATACAAAACACTAAAAATAATTAAATTATAATACTAATCAAAATATAAATATTTGATCAAATAATATGATATATAGATGTTATTAACAAGCAGAATAGAAGGATGTACGGCATTGCATTATAAGCTAATAAAAGGAAAATGTGGGATCCACACAGACTGGGCTAATCTGGAAAACGAAAGTCACAAGTCAAGTCCAGTGATCTAGTGAAAGGTTATAAATCTCATTCTTGACAATAAACTACCCATGTCACTTATCAAGAATAGAACAGTTAGGTATTAACATCCTATACAGTACAAATAAATATTCAAGATGACAGGACAGATGGTTCTTCTAACTACTCTACTAAAATCAAATATATAAACTTAAGATTTTAAAAGCATATCAACTACAAGTGCTTTATAGTGAAAGACAGCATATACTGTCTAAAGGGTACCAAAGCATTAACATTCAATTTTCAAATTCCCTAATGAAAATCACACACACTGTGTATCATAGCATGACGTACACAACTGCAAATGCAATAATTGATAATGGACACCGATAACACAAATAACGAAAGGATATCTAATGAAGAAATACTGTATACTGAAAGCAATGAAGTGAGCGTGGACATCAATCAGCACACACATCTAATGCAAATTGGTTAAAGGAGCTGTAATAGTCTGATGTAAAGAAATTTGGAGCTTTATGAACTTAATTCACTTCAAGTACAGTATGTAAGAATATATTCACTGATATAACTACCAATAATGCATATGAAATTAGTCAATTACTCAAACATTGTAGATTTGGCTACTGCATATTTCTTAGAAGAATGCACAACAGGCACTGTCTTACCATTTGACAATCTCAGGACTTATAGCCAACTCAAAGTCATGCCCTCCTGCCATTGAAAAATATTTGGCTTAGGCCCAAAAATATGGCAAAAATAAATAGTTACTTGGCATGGATCGAGATGTTGCTCCACATACGAACTTCGACTGGTGTCTAAGCATTATTGTTTGGACTAATTGATCGTTATGATGGCTGTTGACGAGTATCATGCTTCTACTAAGGAGCCAGGCTAATATGCTCAAATTCCTCCAGCTAGTCGACTCTCTTATCGAATAGCACATACAGGGTAGTACAAATTACTTTAAAAATATAATGCAGGAATGGGTGAAGCAGCAGCTAAATAAAATATGGCCAGAAGAATACTTCTAAAAGGTTGTTCAAAGATTACGTAAAATAAACGAGGTCACACAACTAAAGGTCAACTGAGTTTCAACTGGAAGCTGAACAAAGGCATGATTGGTTATGTGCATAATGCCACTGTATCAACCCATCTGGTTGTCGTCTAGCAATTTCAGTTATTGGTAAATAACTTTATTGCTCCTTTGATCTATTTTTTTTTTTTACATGTAATGACTGATGTGTATAAATATCTATTTGATGTAGTTGCACTTAATAGTTATTCTTCATTAAGTAAATAGTTATTCTTATATTAAGTTATTCTTCGTTAAGACTTCATTAAGTGAACAAAGCTGAACCTCTGATACAATCACTTACAAAACTCTACAATTACGATTAACGATCTAAATCCCCGGGCACATTCTATCCTAAACTTTTCCGTGCCACATTACCAACAGCCAGGAACAATCCCCACAGACTGATTATTAAATTTTTTTTATAAAACATGATCCACGCATGTTGCTGCTAATACAGGAGATTGTGCATGTAACCACTTACGTAAGTTGTTACAGAAAATGTGTACCTAACTGGATATACGATGCCGGCGATGAGAAACTACAGTAATTATTTCTCTAAGATGCAAATTAAAAGGGTAGTACTGAAAGGGTTAATAGTCATAAAATATTTCATTGTCAATATATTAAAATTGACAGTCATGAAATATAATAAGAACATTTGAATAAGTATATTAGAATAATGTTATCTTTATGTACAGTATGGAATTTTATTTTATGTCTATATAAAAATATATGAAATACTATGTATTTTAAACTAAAAATCTAACTACAACATAGATCATGTCCTTAAAATATCCAGTCCAAAGGATAAGTGTAATTTAAGCAAGAAGCGATGTTTACAAAATAAATCTTTCAAAATGAAAGGATCACATGACAGCATTGTGTGTTCCTGAAGTAACTGAATGACAACACTATGCACTAAAAATTCTAATACTAAACAGATTTTTTCAATGCAAAAATTAAATATAAATGTTTTTAAAAGAAAAAAATTCCACTAAAAGTCAAGTAAGATACACACACACACACACACACACACACACACACACACACACACACACACACACACACACACACACACACACACACACACACACACACACACGTGGTTGAAAGGAACAAAATGGTGTACTTTTTCTTATCACCGATGATTCATTTCTTGGGCTTCACTGAAACTAGTGTCGCCTGTTACTATGCTGCATATTCTCCAGAGGAAACCACCATTTCCATCCCAGTAATACTGAAGAGTGAAAGTCGCAGTAATGCAAGTGGAACATTTTACACTAACCCTATACATTGAAAATAAAAACAATGTTTTGGTCTGTTCCGAACCATTCTCAGGTTGAGGCTGTGAATCAAGTGACATAGGCAAACAGAGGGGCGATGCAATAAAAATGCAGACCCGCTCTATCGCCTTCATCCCATGTTGTCTCTCTTCATCTCTTCTTTATTGTATCTGTCACATAATTTCCTAGCTTAGCAGAGGAAACTGCCTCTTCCTTCTTACCGTTGTTATTCATCACTCTGCATACAGCGTATTACGACTGGTATGGAGTTCAACTCAGACGAGTGTCTGGACACCACCACCAATACACCTTCCACACAGCCCGAGAGCCCCAGGCAGGTAAGCGGCTGCAAGAATCATACCAACACTACATCTAGGTAACCTCCTGTTACTCCGCCGGCTCTTCGTTCCAAGCCTCGGTAACAAAAGATGCGACTTCATCAACAGGGGTATAAATACCCATGACCTCAGTCATCTCAGAAGATTATCTCAGGTTGTGCAGGGAATCAACATTACTGCCTCTGCACAACGCTTGCCTCCCTCTTTTTCGTATACAGGTTGTAGTGGTTTATAAATACTTTCAGTTTTACCCTTATTTTTGTGTTAAAGTAAGTTTATACATGTGTTATTTCTCTTGTGTGCTAGCCAAGAATGTCCAATCAGGGGTTTTGGGTATTTTTCACATGTTATTTGTTCATTTTGATATTAAAGTAAATTGTCATAATTTTTCGCTTGAGTATTCTTTCGCTCTTGTGCAATTTTCACATTGCAAAGGCCAATGTGGCATTTTTTTGTACTTGATGAGAAGTGTGTTCCACATTCCATCTGCTCAATATAGCCGCACTACTGAGTCAAGCCACACATCTCTTCCCCTAAACAAGTTCTCCTCTTTCCATGACCAGCATCTTGTCCTTCCTTGCTCTTTATTATTAACATCTTCCTCTTGACTCCTCACTTTCTTCATTTAGACTGTTACCTAACCACTCTCGTTGTTGCTCAGTTGTCAGTCTCAACTTGATATTGGTGCAGGATGGGCTGAAACTCACATTTTCCATTGCTAATGTGGGAGTTTAGTAGGTTTGAACGATCGAGTTTTGGTTCAAATTCCATGCACTAGGACTCTATACAACCCCAAGCACAACATAGGGGTTGTGTTTCTGTTTACAACACAGCTGTTTTCTAATCAATTTTCTTTTTCCTTTGCATTTTATCCATCTTATCATCCTTTCATTCTACATTATCACTAATGTGCGTCAAGACAACCGTCCTTGTTTACAATTATGTTAACACATGTTAAGGTTATGGCAAGCCACATTACACATTCTCTTTCACTCTAGCCAGTGACAAATGCTTAAGTGATGGCATAACCATGTGTAGGAATAAATGTCCAAAATACCAAGACAACATGATGCCTATTCACGTTTATATTGTTGGAGAAGCCTGTTCATTCTTATACTTTATATTTACTTGAGTGTTTTGTGTGCGTTACACAACTTTTCAGGCAAATTTTGTACTGAAAACTTTATTTTCTCCTCACTGGGTGGTATTCATGCACGTTCCAATCTTAATCTGGCCAAAACATCCCTCCATCTATTCCTCTGAAGGTGGCTGGTGCAAATCGAAGCATTGAGGCCTGAAGCCTAACACTGGACAAGGTGATCATTCAGCACGACTATTTCTCTTAAGAGAAGTAGGTCATGGGCTGATGACTGACATCCCTCAACCGAGTTTCCTGCCTATTGTTACTTGCCATGGGTCTTGCCATTGCTCTATTTAATAATATATCTATGATTGGATTTAAAGTCATCTATGTGAACCTGCATAGACACATTTGTTGTACAGGTTCCACGACTATGTATCAAATGTACTTCAAAAATTTTGTTTTCGTGTGTGTACAAAGACTGTGCAAATGTTCAATTTTAAGGTTTTTTCATGGTGACATATTGCAAGTATTTCATTGTTTTAAGATTCTAGTCGAAGTGATGTTCTGATAATTTCTTAAATCTGTTGTAAAAATCTTCATGCTCTCGTTGATAACATCACATTTTTCTTGGGATACTATGGCTAGGGTACAGCAGTAACTCGTGTAATATCTTGACCACACTTTTATCTTCTCGTTATGTGGGGTTACTTGCTTCTACATGGTAAATTGTTTGGCACAAATTTGAAAGCACTGATGCTTAGCCAAAGGCCCATACTGTCTAATGTATCTTATCAAGGTAGCACCCCGAGAACATTTGACTTCTTTCAGGAACTTCAAATGGTACCGTATTAGTACTAATGAAGTGTAATTTTAGTTACACAGTTTCATCCACTTTCCATGAGTATGTGCTATATGTTTAAATCGGTTTAATTTTTATTTTTTGTAATGTTTGAGGTGCGAGATATGAGGTTTCCAGGTAGTCTAGGTATAAAATGGAGGCCAAGCAGAATAGTCCATTAGATTTCATGCAAGCCACCCTAGTGTAATACTGGTTCTTGATGTGTACTTTTTCTGTTCAAGGTAATGTTTATCATTTCCTGTAACACTCAACATATTATTGTAGCAGCTTATGGAGCAACTACCTACATAGAGGAGTCCATTTAATTCTCTTGGCATTATGGAATGTTCTGAAAATTTATAAAAATATTCAAGAATTTTGGTAGGTTTCCATGTAAATGTATGGAGCATAATTTCCTCAGAATGTGATGTCTCCAGGTTGTGTCTTTAGCTTCCTGTATATTTAATGATATTAATGCATCTGCACCAGTGGGATGTGCTAATAATAGGTTTAGGTTTCTAGAAACCAATGAGGTAAATGTTTATTGTACATTCCAGTGATCTACATATGCAGTATGTAAGGGTTATGCATCTATAGTAGGATGATGATATTTTTGTTTATAGTGCTGGAGGTGTCATCATCACGTCTCTGGGAAAATACTTTTGTGTTCATACTCTTAGAGTATACAAAGATGACATTTCAATGCTGTCTTTCAATGGGTATCGCAACATTTTGTTCGATATATATCTGGGGCCCCCCCCACAGTTGACTTGCACTGGAATAATGCTTATTAAAAGGCGGGTCTGCGAGGTAAAGATGCGACTGTTATCCGTTTCCAACTTGCAAAATTTAGGTGTATTTTCCGCTTTCTTTCTTGTTAATTCTAATAGATTATAGTTCTGTATTTGTTCAGTAATTCTAAGAAATGGGCAACCAGAGCTTTATTGTTTTTTATATGTGTACAGTAATTTGATCCAATCACAGATCATCAAGAGTTCTTTCAGTGTTCATAACATGTGAAGACTGTTGGGATCTCTTGGGGAGATTTCACACGAGACTTCCACCTTCAGGAAGTCACTTCAGGAAGGAAAGGCCACACAAGAAACAAGGCATTCCAGATACAGCAAGAGAACGTTTGCAACTTGTATATATATATATATATAAACAAACGTATACAAACGTCCCTATCAAAAGCACTGTCTATTACGCCCGTTCAATTTATGAATTAAAACAATTCAACCATCCTTCAAGTCTGCAAGACTGGCTAACTTGTGCAGTGGAGGAACAAATGTAGTCCTCTCAACAATAATTGTGCAAGTGCTAAACAGTAAGTACTGATGTTATACAATATAAAATGTGTAATGTCAAAAATCAGCACAAAACTTTTGTATAAAATATTTTATAAGGTCTGAACACTTAACTGTGTGCCTGAATATACAAACTGCTAGATTACTCAGATTTTACAAGAATTTTAAAATTGAGCAAAAGTCAACATGGCACAAATAAGTAAACTATGGTATTTATACAGTTAAAAACTTTCACAAAGAAAAATATTAAATTAATATCAATACTGTACTGATATTTTTACTCTAAGAAAGTAATGACAATAGACAGCTACACAAATACCTTTTCCCTTTAAAATGAAATTAAAATCAACACAAACAACACTGACATAGTAAAAACACATCACCAATCCATGCCTAGCGAACCAATAATATTAATAAAAAAAAAACAGTAAAACTTTAACAATCTTTCCGTGCTGTGCGTGACAAAACTATAACATTCAAAATATCACATGTACCCACCTTGAGGTGGTGTCATAGATCAATATCATTATTTATATCCATTAGGAAGATTAACAAATGAATGGTTAAAAGGTGAAGATAGTATTTAAATAATTACTTTACAGAAAGAACACGCATGCACACATTCACAACCTCAATAAAACATGCAATATAATTCTCAAAACTGTTCATGGTCATGAAGAATCCTGGCATGAGAGTTTATATAACAAATGCAATCAATATACATTATGTACAATTTGAACATCAAGTGCATCACATGCATTTACTATATTAGTTCCATAAACATTCATAGAATACAATAAATGTCTACAAAAAAAAACAGGTACAGTAGTTCAAAAAGAGAGAAAATTATAAAAATGTACAAGTATCATGCAACTAAAATTTGAAATGAATATCTGTTGAGCACCAGTAGTAAAGTACTACGATGGCTTGTCGGCCATAAAGAGTACCCGTCATGTTTCAAGGCAAAAGGCAAAATAATCACCCAAGAACCTCAGGAAGTGACACATTTGTGGCCTTGGGTGGTTGTGGAATAATATTATTAGTTTTCATATAAGACAGAACTTGACCTGGTACTTCAGCAAGAACTTCCCTAGCCAGCTTAAGCCTAGCCATGTGAGGATCCCCACCCCCCTTCAGGAAGTCCCTAAAAGGCACAAACTGCACAATGTCTCGAGCAGCATACCGACCATTACTGGAGAGTCGCACAACATCGCCGTCCAGCTCCTCCATACTGTCAAATTCTGCTGCACCTATTCCCACAATGATGATAGACAAGGGCAGAGATGAAGCATTAACAATTGCCTGCAAACAAAAATGAGAATAAATAATTTGAGAACAAAATAAAATGATCTATTTGCATTATTTTAAATCAATTTTCCTTATGGTACTCACATTCTTGGAGAAGGCATTGGGAGGGAACAAGATTTCAGAGATAGACAGATCATGTCTAACTAATGTAGCTCTCTTAAATATGGTATGAGCATAGATCTTTATCTCATATCAGACATGCAGCCTTCAGAACAGAAGCTTTGGTGATGGAGAGAAGCATCATCTAATGCAGTAAAGAAATCTTTCAGAAATAATTAGTTCCTTTTCCAGACTCGGTCACCATTTCAAGTTATAATGATTAATGGCGAGTACAAACATTTTTGTACTTGGGAATAATTTTATACTTGCCAATAATTTTAATTACACAAAGAAATCACATTAACATGATGTATCAATGGGATAATTTTTTCTAAATTGTTAATGTAAAAAATCAACAAGTAAATCAATATTGGGAATATGACACACTTTTACTGGGTTGTCTTTGCCGGACTGGACATGTGAGCATGCCGTGATCGTGAGTTACACAACAGTCGAATGTACTGTATATATAGTACAGCGGTGTTCGTGTCTTGGAAACACAAGCAGCACAAGTTGCCTGGATTACACGAGTGGCCCTGGTAATGAATTACCAGGCCACATGAGTTGCCTGGTAATGAATTACTTAGATTATATTTTCTGTTTGAAAATGGAAACTCACCATTTTTAATGGTACTTCTGGAAAGAGTAGGCGATTTTATTCTTGCAGATGTAATGAACAAATGGAACAAATGGTGTGCAACTGGTATGGTTAAGTGATGATTGTAGTATAGCATAAGTACTAGTACTTTATGTACGCGAATTTTGAGATCTTGAGGTTATCTTGAGATGATTTCGGGGCTTTTAGTGTCCCCGCGGCCCGGTCCTCGACCAGGCCTCCACCCCCAGGAAGCACCCCGTGACAGCTGACTAACACCCAGGTACCTAATTTACTACTAGGTAACAGGGGCATAGGGTGAAAGAAACTCTGCCCGATGTTTCTCGCCGGCGCCTGGGATCGAACCCAGGACCACAGGATCACAAGTCCCACGTGCTGTCCGCTCAGCCAACCGGCTCCCCAAAGTACAACAAATAAATGGCAGAAACTGGCCACTCACCTCTTTTGTTTGCGGCATGTCAGTGATGATACCATCAGTAAGGATGAGAAGAATGAAGTACTTGTCGCCAGCCTGGTTAGAGTTAGCAAAGCGGGCAACGTGATTGATGATGGGAGCAAAGTTTGTGGGTCCATACAGCTGAACACGACTCACACACCCATAGTAAGCCTCAAGAACTCCTGTAGAAGTAGCATGGTTATGGTTAATAGTCTTCAACTTGGTATACTGGTTAAATACCTCATCATGGCCTGAACAACAACTAGATTAATTTATTCAATAGTGACTGGTATCCAACCAGGCAGCTGGTGCCGATTGCTATTATGGCAGATTTGTTATTGTGATCCACTATTGGGGCTGAAGAATTGTTCTTGCCACTGATACACCCATTTAGAAAATCCCTAAACCAAGGAAAACTTTCCTGAAATGTTAAATATGCAAACAAAGCTTTTGCAAAACAAATTCATACAACTATGTTTATGTATTGAAGCCAACTCAAAGTTGGCTTCCCCCTTTTCCTAACAAAGTTTAACTCTTAGACAGTGACTATGGAAAAATGGTCATACTATGCTGTTACACATACTATTCACAAAAAAATATACAAAATAAAAAAGGGAAGGGAGTACCACCTCTGGCTGGAAGAAGGGGGACCCATAGCCTCGGAGGAAACCACACATAACGCATTGGAGGGAATGTAGGTCCCCTCCAATACAGTTTCTGTGTGCTATAATAAAAAATATTTTTTTATTATAGAATTATTAATTTGTATGGAAAAATGTAAGAAAAACACAAACAGAGGTGAATATTTATCGTTTCACTGGGTGGGAGGCACTCTGCAAGACTGTGTCTGGCACTTGTCAACACCTGGTGCTCGACTTTGCCGACCCTTCCTGTTTTATCCTCGGATGTTTCACATTGTTTTATCACTAGTATTTATTTATTTACATCTACAGAGAGCTATTATATCCATATTTGCATCGTACACGTAAAACCTTGACAATAATTGTGTAATTCGTCTTTTGATGATAACCGCAGTCTCGTAGGTATTGTCAATAGACAATCACAGCCTAAGGACTAAAGGGTTTAAAAATCTGCCATAACAACAATCGACACCACCTTTGCACCATAATGCATAACTTAAACATTTTAAGCTATCATACAAAAGTATTCTCCAGATATTATATAAACACTGAAAATGTATACTGTATTTTTTTCCCAAAACTAAGAAATTCTTACCTTTGATACATAATACAAATGTTATCAGGTGTGGTATTACAAGAAACTTTCAATTTATGTATGAGAATATTTTTACGAATACAGTATTCAGATCAAACTATTTCTTAAAATTTAATTTAATAACAAACTTTAAATTCCAACCTTGAACTCTGTAGCAATAAGGATTTGATGAATCTCCATTCACAAAGAACTCATGAGACACTTGGTCAAAATTTGGAGGCATCCTGGCCCCAAAGCCAAGAACAGGGAAGTATTTATCCGTGTCATAATCTTCAATGATCTCTCCAACTGCCTGGATTGCTCGTGCATATTGATTTGGAGCCGATGGATTGTTGAAGTGAAGAGACTGTGGCGTTTGAGGATTACCATTTGAAGCTGGAACATTGGAATTTCAGTTGTAAAAAACTAGCATTGAATGTAATGAAATGCCATTTTCCGGGAAGAGCCCCGGAGGCACCTTGGAGCCTACGGGGCTCCCCACAGAAACATTGTATTTACGGTAGTTAACACATGAACATACAACATTGAGGACAATTTACAAAACAAAGTGTTAACAAAATAAGGAAATTCTCTTTTGTAAACAGTGTGATAACTAGATGAATGAAATAATCTAATTGAGGGTGGCATGTGCTAGCTTCACTGGAAACTTCAAAACTTGGTATGACAAACACTAAAAGGTGATCCGAGACCAGGAGCTTCGCTTTTTTTTTTATCCTGTAATTAGGTACACGCAAGTAATTTCTCGCTCTCAGCTGGGAGGTTGTGTCTTCAGAGCTCTCCAGACTGGAGTAGAGAGATCTTGCCTAAAGGCATAAAGCAAGAATTTAAGAATATGTTAGAAGTGCCAAAATACTGTACCTGATTAAAAAGAAGTTAATTAATGTTTAATTAAAATGAAAAAAAAAAAAGATGGATGAGTTAGGGGTCCCCTAAAGCGGCACCATTGTAAAGTGAATCACTTCCACTTCATTTTTACTATATCAAGTGTTGTTGTCCACCCAATTTCCCAAGCCTTCCTCTTCTCCTCCACTTAAATTCACTAGAACACACACACACACTTTACACCTACCAGCATCCATTTATTGAACATGCTAAAAACCCCTTTGAAAACAATATTGCAGTTCACTGACTTGGGAACTCCACATCTCTGCATGACATTTTCTTTTCTCGCACTCTCTCTTTTCTCCTAAAACAACACATGTTCTCCAGATTATTCACTTATACTGCTCTAAAACTTTCATTCTCACATCTGTGCCACAACACACACACACACACTCAACTATACACAAGACCAGGCACCAACTATCCTCCATGCAGGCCTTGGACTACATACATTTTTATCTTGTTTTTCCTATTTTTCAAACTGGGGCTTTCATTATATCAGCCATTTTTCTTCCTGATTCACTCTGCACTCAACTCTAATTGCACAGATACCTATTTTTGTAATTGTACATCACAATTATTTAATCTTATTGTCCACTTCCAGTAATTCACCATAAACATTTAGTCACACAACTTCATTCTCTCTACAACACAACTTTACTTCTGTCCAATTTCCTTTTAAACTGCCTTCTCTCACATACCTAAATATTTTCTTTAACTAATATGTTGTACTTGGATCCCTTTACTACCTACTAAAACAAATACCATTAGCATTCAGTTAAAAGATAGAACATGCTCCAATAACTCATAAACATGATCATATTAGACTTGTATATGTACTAGATTTGTAACTAACATTCTTATCTTGACCTCTCTTATGACCTTAATTTATGTATATACTGGACTGAATAAACAAGGGAAAGCCAGGCTAGTCTGGTGATTACTCAATTGGTAAGCCTGTTGTTAGCAGTGGCCCTCAAAAGTCATCATAGCTATTACAACCCAGCTGATACGGCATGAACGTGTTGTTCACGTTATGAATGTGAACCTGATTCAACACATCAGGTTCACGTATTGAACTTGTTCCTTTGTGTAGAAACGTGTTCAATTTTCTCTTGAAAATTTCCACTTTAATTCCAACAATATTTCGTATATTTGGTGAGGAGGGATTGAAGAGCCATGGGCCTCTGATGTTCCTAAGCCATTCTCTGTCCCCAGTGCACCTTCATTCTTCAATGAATTTATTCTGCATTTCCTACCATATCTGTTACACCAGTAAGTTATTTTATTATGCATATGTAGGACCAGACCTTCGAGAATCTTCTGTACCCAGGAGTTAGGTGAATATTGTGGGTTGCATCTTGGGGAGGTCAGTTGTTGGCTAAGTGAAACCTCAATATGCCTAACACACTTCCTGTCCCAAAAGATGGAAAATCATTTATTCTTTTTCTTTCACATATCTTTTACAATCATATTTACATTTTCTTATCTCTCCCTTTTTCACTTTGTATTAAAAAATCAACTTCTGTATCTTATCCACTGCTCTCACCTCCACCTCATCCCACCAAGTAGTTCCTCTCATTCTTCTACCAGTTTGTGCAACTTCACACATTTCCTTCACATTCCTAACCCCACTTTTCTAGAAGACATTTCCCATGACACTTAAGTTCATTTGCTCAAGATCTCTTTCTCCAAGATCACCAAAAAATTTTTTGTATTCATCTACATGTTGTCTGTCACTCAACATCTAGAGGATCATTAAATGTCTTTATCAACAGACCTGTGAAATCAATAGCAATGAAAGCATTAATCTCCATGCCGCCCTTGATGTAGTCGATGAACGAGAAGACCTGACGAACCTGAGCCCTGTTAACCATCACCTCTCCAGAGTTCTTGTATTTATTTCCCACTTTTTTCTGCAAGAAAAAATTAAATGATAACTTTTACCAGTTACTCATATCCCTGCTTATATTTATTAGTTATTTATATTCAAAACATTAGTTAATATATACAGGCGATGAGTCACAATAACGTGGCTAAAGTAATTTGACCAGACCTCACACTAGAAGGTGAAGGGACAACGACGTTTCGGTCCATCCTGGACCATTCTCAAGTCGATTGTCTTGAGAATGGTCCAGGACGGACCAAAACGTCGTCGTCCCTTCACCTTCTAGTGTGTGGTCTGGTCAAATTAGTTAATATATACTTTATGTGGCACAAATGAAAGATGAAATCATTAGATTTGACATTTGAATCTAGTAAAACATGGTGTCAATGCCACTGGCTGCTCCATCAGTTTACCTACCTTCTCTCCACATCTTTTAATGCCTAATTCCTTTATACAACCTCCACAAAAGGTGTGGTATTGACACTGAAGCATTTAAGCTGCCAAACATTACAGGTATACATATTTAAAACTAATTTGATCTAGCATATGCTTCCTCACAATATGAAAGTGGAAAATGGGGTGGGTTGGAGAGGCAATGACAACTATGATTTATACAGAAATGATCTACATACAATACACAGCCCATTCTAAAGTGCAACTTTGTTTTTCACTGAACAGTACTGTTAACTAGCCTCGGTATTTAAATTAGTAATTCCTCAATACATGTTCTTTGAGATGCACACACCTCTTAAGTATAACAATTCTACTTTCATCCTTTACACCTGAATCCCCTTTTAAAAGATAATCATTTTTTGCCATTCTCTTTTTCTTTATTAACACAATTTAGAATATCCATTATCTTTCGAAATTCTGCATCTGCCTTCTCTTTTGCACACCCTCACCTTAGCTGCTACTTATATAAATTTCTCACATCTGATGTAGAAAAATTCCAGAAAATACTACAAATACACATTAGTGGCTTTATAAAAATTATAAAAACATTTTCTGTAAAAATTTTAATCAAGCTCACTACTATTTTGTATGAAGCATTATTATTATTACAGTATATGAAAGCACTTAAATTACATGAACAAAATCTTTTAAGAACAGACTCTTAAGGGAGATTTGTTTAAACTTAACACAATTATATTGATGGGAAATGGAACCAGTTAAGTAGAACGTTATAAGTTGGCTTGACAGATGTCAGTAAACAAGTATTATTGTAAATGTAGCAATGTTAGGAACCCAAATTGTCACAGCTGACTATTAAATCCAAAGACCATGTTTAAACATTTAAGTATAAACCAATATGTACCAGATTTAATGAAACCTGGCAGGTGGGAGAGCTATCAAGTAAATAAGAGTATCTCCTTTTTGAACAATTTAACATCAAGGTCATTCATAGGTTTAGGTCAAAATTCTCTCAAAACAGATTTTTCTATTAAGAATCTTTCTGGTTTCATACAGCACAGCATTTTCTCCAACTCCATTATTTAGTACTCTTTCTTTTATACAAAAGTATTACCTTAATCTCTCTAAGAATTAACTCGTCTGTTAAATAGCCTATTACATATAATTAGCTTACTGAACATGTGTAATTTTATAATGAATTATATTTAAGCCGTTTACCTTTCTCTCGTCGCTGATGAGCCAATACGTGTTGCTTGGACCTGCTCCTTCATTGAGTTTTCGTACAGTAGTGTGAAAGACACCAATAAGTTTGTGAGTTCCATTTGATTTGTAATCTTTGCAGTTTACTTGTATATTACGATCATAATCACCACTGCAGAAGCTTCGCAAAGGTACTGTAAAACAATTCCAGACTGGGTTTTGTGTACTTCGAGCTCTCTCTGTGCGGTGGACCAATGTGAAGGTTCCATCTTCATTTGACTTCAAGAACTCTAGGAAGGGATTAATGGAACTAAACCAGCTTCTATTTTCAAGACCCTTGCCAACAAACTGTATATCAAGCTCCTCTTTACACGAACTAAGTTCTTCTGTAACTATCAAGATAGAACCGTTGTCTCCTGTATATGCTTTATTGACCAGAGGTTTATGAAGTGTGCGAGCGCTCACTAACTGAGCAAGAGTGCACTCAAATTCTCCAAGAAAATCATGGTCTTCAACATTCTGAGAATTGGAATCAATGTCAAACAGCATAAACTTAAGGTGTTGCTGCTCCTCAAAATGGTATGTAATAGGGATCTTTGCAGCAAAGTCTGGATCGAGCGAGTTTTCAATGCATTCAGTTCGTCTGAGCTCTGCCCATTGTTTTGACCCAAAAGGTTGGTAATACAACACACACACAGGGTCAGATCTAGAGAAGACATCCAAGTCCCGAAGATTCCTGTGTAAATAAAAAGAAAAATTCACATATATACCATACTATACCTTAACAATCAAATAGGCAAAGGGCTCTAATGTCAATATTTTTTTTTAAATTGGAGTATGAAGAAGCAAAAATATTAACATTAAAATGTAAAGTGAAGTGACTGGTCTCTGCCATCAATATAGGGACAAATACAGAATGGAAGAAAATAAGATGTTCTTTAATTAATGTTGCTTCTTTGCCAGTATTCAAACTGATTCAACATTTGTCTATGTTTGTGTTGTCATCCACAGTAACTATTTTTTTTTTAATCCCCTTATTTTATCTTCTCTACTTTTCCAACTTCAATAAAATATTATAATTTTTCCACAGTAATATATACTGTACTTCATGAAGGAAACCTCAGCCTTTCAACAGGCTTATCTTAGTGCAAGCATGTGTCTCATACAATACACACATCCTCGACATGCTAAACATTGAAGTGCAATATGGCTGACCTCTAGAGAGAGAGAGTGAATCTTATGACAATACTAATTTTCAGAATGGAAAATATGTATTCAAGCTCAAAAACCTTCACTGCTTATACAGCAGGCACCCATAAAAAACAAACATTGAGAAGATTCATGTTAGAATCAGTAATCTTACCCTATCGGTCATATTCAACAACCTAAGTCTGCAAGAAAGACTGCTACCAAAATATACTAATAAATAAATTATATGCAGTATATCTAGAAGGGGTACCACCTCTGGTGCAAGTGTAGGGACAGTATATTATATATATATAAATAAATAAAATGTAACATGCATAAATTTTGTACAGTACAAACATTTAGGTCAAAAGTGTGAGTGGAGTGCAAGAGGTTCATTTACAACTACAGGTACTGCTGGTAAAAGTCAGGGATCCAGTAAATTACTAAGACTATATAACTACAATAAAATTTTCATTCATGTGCGAAGATCAAATTTCCTTATTGTTCAAGTATGCAAAAATTCAATTCACATCGTCACATCAACAATGGGCTCGAGATCGACCACAAGTACAGTTTCTAAATTAAGCAACTGACATGTGTGATGATGTGCATTGTATTTTGTAACTAGCTCATCAAGATTGTAACTTGCTTAGTTAATGTGCCTCTGTAACCCTTTCCACTACTGCCCACAGGATGAGTATGGGGTGATTAATCAATGAAAACTAACTATTCAAGATATTGTATTAAGAATTTATGTAGCCATTATTAATGCCTTTATTGTGAATACTGTACTCTATATTTTAAACCTGGTTTTATTCTGCCTGTCTTTCTGCATTTACCCTGAAGCCCAAGTTCATTGGAATTGCTTAATTTTACATTTTACTTATATATGTAGCCCTCATTGCCCTTAATTAGAAGCCCTCTCTCATTTTGCAAAACAACTAATTTCTATAATTGCATAAACAGTAGGCTGCTTAAATGAGAGAACGCTAATGCCCGATACAGTAATTTGAAAAAAAGTGTCTTCATGTTCATACTACCCAAAATTCAGATACAGATTTTTGTCTGTATCTATCTACATGCTAAACATTTAGTGAGAAAGGTTATCAGGTGTATGTACTGTATCATGCTTGGAGTTGGTGGAAAGCCCTTAAATGTGAAGAGCCTTTATTGAGGAAGCAGTCCATGAGAAAAAGTTAATGGTGTAATGAGTGATCTGATATTAATGCAGAAGAATGCCAGTGATGTGTAATGTTTTCTTGGTTGTTCACTGCAAATATGGATGGGGCTATGGTGAAGGTAAAGATGAGAATGCTAAATAAGTGAGCGCGCTAGAAAGGAGAAAGCGCATTAGAAAGGAGAGAGCGCATTAGAAAGGAGAGAGCGCACTAGAAAGGTGAGGGCGCTAGATAGGCGAGGGCGCTAGAAATATTTGGTAATAGGAGAAAGCACATTCTATCCTTTGGTGCCCTTAACAGCCATGGAAGCATTTGCAGCCAAGTTTCCACCCCACCCCCCACCCCCCCTCTGTGTGGCACTCGACTACCAGCAAGTGATTCACACACACACGCATGGAAGCACTGCAATCAGCTCGGCTAAAAGCAGGGCCACTGGTCAGTAAGTACCTTTGTGTTATGTAGGCGTGGCTTATACCCACACGAATAGGTGTAGTCTTCAACTGGCAAGGCATCTGGGGATATTGATCAAGGACAATCTACCTTTGCAATCTCCCTCAATCTGCTGGGGTAGGGCAGGAAGGGGGAGGGGGAGGGGGAACAACAATGTTATCCTACCAACTACGTCAAAATCTAAATGCACTCAGTTTAATCCCAGGATAAAAATCACCCAATGGATAGAAATACCTTTAATGGACAAACCTTTTGGGTCTGAAGATGAAATTTAACTCTGTGCTAAGGAAAACAATTGGCTGAGGCATTCTTGTTCATCTCATAAGCTTGCTCCTAACCAGAAACTGAAATGTGCTGGACACCAGTTTTGTGCCCGAGACGGTAGTCATTTAGTACGAAATTACCAACACGAGCGAGGCATTCTTAGCCACACTTAGCCACCCCTTACCAAAAAACAATAACATGTGCTGGATACCAGCAGAAATTTCAAATTAATTTTCATGCCTCCTAGTTAAAAAAAACTCAACTTTATCATATTTCAACAACAGGTGACAGGAATGCTATAAGGCAGCATTTTACTGTTGGTTTCGTGTTAAGCTTAAGGACTATCAGTTACAGATGGGTTATTAAACAGGCTTAACATCACTCTACATATCTTGTACTATTTATTTACAAAGCTCTGGTCCTCAACACTAATCCCGATTTGAAACTCTTCCTAGATGGACGTTACAAAACCCTTAAATACACCAAAATTAAGTAACTCTTTGATGTTCCAAGATGCAAACTAAATTTATGCAAACATGCCATTCAAACAATAGAACCTACTACACAGGACTCCCTTTCTAATGCAGTAAAATCTGATCAACCTATATTTTATTAAAAAAGTAAACTGCCTAATTTCCCCACACAGTACCCCAGCTTGTGCTACTAATACACCTAGCACTTTACTATCTAGAAAATTTACGGCAATATAATCTGATTATCACTAATTATCATACAGTTTCTCACTGTATACCTCAGTCACTGGTTTTATTTCTTGAAGGTCGATTGTTTACCTTGAAAACTTATAAGTCGGTGCAAATTTGATGTTGACTTTACTGAACTGCTACTTGTTATTGGCTTTTGCAAGATTGTACCATGTAATCACCAAAATCTGTCTTAACAACCCGGTGTACCTTCTCATACAGATTATACAAATTAAAAAGGATACAAAATTATATAATACACTATTTTTGCTAAAAATTAACAATTATTTTTCACTGTATAAATGGAAAAAACTTATTTTTCTCATTAGAAATGTATTGAAAAGTAATTTAACAGAGTTAATGGTTTTGCTGTATTTGTAATGATGTGTCCTGGGAACACACACAGCATAGTTGTGTGCTATTTACAGTATATTTCCTAATAAGAAATGCAAACAATAACATTTAATTTGCATGTATTTTCCACTATGATTTTTATTAAATGGCACAGCAGAAAGGGAATGTCTATATATTTTGCTAGAAATGAAGCCTAATACAAAGTATGAATTCCAAAATTCATTTTTTATTTGCATTTTAATCCTCGATAAGGACAGGCCACCCCCACCCCAAAAAAATGGTTTCGCAGCCAAAGGTTTAAGTAAAGTTGATAGACAGCTTTTTCACAGATAGTGTAATAGATCAATTACCGAACAATTACTTGACTAAATATGTAAACAAGAACAATCTAAATATCTGTTCCTATTCTAAAGTTATAGAATAGTTTTTGTAACCTTAAAGTACAGTACTAACTGTTAAATACAGTATTCAAACCCTGCACAAGCTATACAAAACATGCAAAGAAAAAACTACAAAGATTAAAATGATGAAAAATTTACAGTGATTATAACTGACAAGTGCTGGACTATGTCCACTTTACTAACAAAAACTGTAAATTATTACCATGATGGATTATACACTATAGGTCTCATGAGTCAATGTAAGGACCCAACATGGGCAGACAAGCTGGGAAAGATTGTGTGTGTACTGTTAACTACTGAACATTATTTGAATGCAAAATTATCTGCTACATGTAGAAGAATACATAAAGATGTAGAAATGATGACATCCAGCAACAGCAGAGAACTTACCTGCATGACACTGTGATCTCGACTAAGGAAGTTGGTGTCGCTGCCGAGCCTGCCATGGTCCTGGGGATAAGATGCTATGCTATTCTATGTCTACTCTCACTACTCCTCCTGGATTTCTACTTCTCTGTGGAAGAGTCCTTGCAATGAAATACTAGCCACAAAAAATAATAATGAAAACCAATACAACATGTATACATACAATACAGAATTAAAATTTGCAGAATTTTGTAAAAACATAATCTGTATATAAATAAAGCTAGATTTAATGTCAACACAAAATGAAAATTAAATTAATACTAGGGTAAAGTTGTTGGTCTCCAGATACAAAGTTATTAACGCCCTCAGAGGCGTAAACAAAATTTGGCATTTCGGGGCCCTTCTAACCACTCCTCAAGCCCTGTAAGAAAACCCTATAGAAGAACGAAAAACTTGTTCCACTGGTAGGTTAGGGTAGGAAAGCTAGTTCTGCTACATATCTAGCTCCTTGGTTATGCAGGCTGGGTCTCATGTCTTAGACCTGCTCGGACCAGGTGGTCCTTGAGATTTATTTCTCTTTCATGCGATCATAGAAGGATCTCTAGGGAAGTTCAGCCAGGATGGATGTTCCTCATATGTCTCCTTCATCCAGGACCATACTTTGGTCATTTTCTGCTTCAGATGTGTTGCTAAGGCTGGAAAAAACAAAATCGGGAGGATCCATCTCTTATCGTGTCATTTTGGAGTTGGAGGATGGAGAAGTTGAGCCTGGGTTTGTGTTGCCAGCTTAGTCTGGGCTTTGTGTAATATCTTGTCTGGATAGCCCCGATTCCCTGAACCTCTCCCAGAGATCCTGTAGCTGGAGATGCAATGTTTCATCCATGCTGTTTATTCTCTTTAGGCAGAGGCCCACAGAGTATGGCATGGAAGTCCTCAGAGCTGATTATTCAATTATATTCAATTATATATTGAATATAATACAGCCCTGTATATTCAGAGAGATCCTAACATTTTTGGGTTTTTGTTTTTATATTTTGGGTGCTGGAACTATAAGCTATTTTTCTGCAAATATAGTACCTGTATCCAGAGACTAGCAAATTTACCCTATAATAATTTGACCCATCCTCCAAAAATTATAGTACTTACTGCTACCAAGTATGGTAAGTTTAGTTCATTTATTACGAACCCCATACCCATCCTGTGGGGCAGAAGTGGAAAATGTTACATGAACACATAATGGGCTCAAGAGCTGAACCCCAAAATTCATTTAGCTAAACAAGTTACAATCTTGATTAGCGAGTTACCAACTTTAATGTATATTACAGTATTTTATCAACAATGAGTTTGAGAATGATCACAATTGCAGTGTGTCAAAGCCATGCAACTTACATATGTGGTAAGCTAGTTTCATAACTTCATTTGCTCATCATGCACACCACCCTACATCCAGTGGATGACAGTGGAAAAGTACATACAGTACAAAATATTTATTTTATTTATTTATTTATATATATATATATACAAGAAGGTACATTGGGATTGTGAGGATACATAGCATAGTAATGTAGTAGTAACATTCTTGTAAAGCTACTAGTACGCACAGCATTTCGGGCAGGTCAAAATACAGACTGTTGTATTCAAAACCTCTCCATATTATACTACTGGAATTCTAAAGGGTGTAACAAAAGCACATATGCTAACCATAAACCTAACCTAACCTGCCCTAGGCCTATATAAGCATTGTTAGGCCAAACATTAATCTTCGGCAACATTCTAACATTCAATCTTGGGGCAACAAATAAAAGGACTATGGAAACTAAGGTTCAGTTGGTACCTTATTTGTTGTACCCTCTTCAACATGAATAGTACAAAACATACATTCTTTTGTGTGCAAAAAGTCCATATTTTTGTTATTTCATCCACAGACACTAACACTATAATTTTTGGATGACTGGTAATATAACTTCAAGGAAAAAATTTCAATGTTGAGTTTTTTTGTTTGAAGGCACTGCAAGGTTTTCCATAGTGGACTTAGGAATTCATTCCATTATTCAAGACCATCTATTTGCCTTGGAGCCTTAGAATGAATATCCATCCTGCCTTCGAAGGCCAGCTTTTTATGGATTAAAGCTAGCAGAGGTTGGATTTGTCACAACTCTGGTCTACACCTTACAAGCAGAGGTCTGACTAGCCATAATTCTGGCCTGTACCTACAAGCAGAGGTTGTACTAGCAATAATTCTGGTCTACACTTTACAAGCAGGGGTTGTATTAACCATAATTCTGGCCTACACCTTACAAGCTGGGGTTGGACTAGTATCTATAGTTGGACTAGTATCTAAAACTAGTATGAATAGCTCTGGTCTACATTTTGGGCTTGCAAGCAGGGGCTGAATGGATCAAGGATACAACCAGGGGTTAGAGTGGTAGTAACTCGGGCCTACACCTTAGACTTACTACAAAATCTTACCTTTTCCTGCAATGTTTTACATTACCAATATTTTCCTTACTCTTTCTTTCCATACATTTCCCACGTAGTACAATATTAATTTATTCATGCAATAATATAGACATTTTATAGTAATCTGCATCAAATTTCAGCTCTGTGGCATCAGTTCATTGTATTGTTTCGATTACATAATAAGTTTATGTAATCAACTAATAAAATCATTTTAAATTAAGATAAGGCTATTTAAGAGAATACTTTTATTAATAATCATTTGCATTTTTAGTACTGTACAGAGAAAACTGTTTTTTCAGCAGTGAAACTCTACATACAGTATTTGGAAAACTTTTTGAGATTCTAATTCTTCAAGCAGTGCAAAATTTACCCAAGCTGTACTGGCAATACCAGCAATATACACGAGGAAATTTTTTTGTCAAAATATAAAATTTTAACCTTTCCTATGATAAATAACTCCATTAGAGTCAAACAGTGCTAACAAAATGACATCTTTACTACTGTTTATAGCATCACTGCAGACAATTTCAAAGACAGGAATAAGCACACACAACTATACACGATTCACAATTCACATGAATGTGAAAGAAAATTTACAACAGCTTCATTACCACATACATCATCTGACAACACACTGACACACTCAAAAACGGGACCAAAAGCGGGACCAAAGAGCCAAAGCTCAAACCCAGCAAGCACAACTAGACGAGTACACACAACATACACTACTGTATCCTTAATTATACATGATATGCACAATCCAACACGCACATCCACCCACGAAACAAAAATGACCATACCATTTTTTTTTTTTGGGGATGTCATCTGGGATAATACAAAGCATGAACTTTTTCTGATATCCATCTGTTTGACCAAATAGTTGCTGTAAGTACTATCATTTTAAGAGGATTGTCCGAATTGTTAACCAAATTACTATGCCGTATTCACAATAAAAAATGCCCACACTATTTTTTAAATCTACAAAACTCGGGTAGTTTTTATCGGTTTTATCGTTTTATGCCACCAAATGGTATCAAATGTTTAAAATTTGTAATTTTTTGGTTTACAGTATATATATTTTTTTCTTTTCCTCATTTAGAGTTGAGAGTCGATTCAAAATTCACTTATAAATAATAAGAATGCATAGTATTCTCAAATAGAATATTTTGGAAAGATCCCCTTAAGGTAAGATTAGAATGGTTTGGGTTCCGTAGCCATGAGGATGACCGAGGTTTGATTAGTGGGGCTAGATTTAAATGGATCAGGTTAGGAGCAAATTGAAAATGGGGGCTACCTTACCTTACCTTGAGGTTACCTTGAGGTGCTTCCGGGGCTTAGCGTCCCCGCGGCCCGGTCGTCGACCAGGCCTCCTGGGCAGCTGGTACCACTCACAGGATTCATATAATGTGAACAATGAACTTAACTATTATTAACTATTAATGTAAATTTAACAGTGGGTTAGGAATTTTTTGTTTTTAAATATATATATATATGGATGCCGTTAAAAAATTATTCTCCCCAAACTTGAATTATTATGATACCTGACATTTTATTCATATTTTATTTTATTTTATTTTATTTATTTTCAAGATGGTACGTTGACCCGACCACACACTAGAAGGTGAATGGATGATGACGTTTCGGTCCGTCCTGGACCATTCTCGAGTCGATTGAGAATGGTCCAGGATGAACCGAAACGTCGTCATCCCTTCACCTTCTAGTGTGTGGTCTGGTCAACATACTTTAGCCACATTATTGTGACTCTTCGCCTTCAAGATGGTACATTTTGCTTGTGAGAGTACATAACACTGGTGTTCATACATTCTTGCAAAGCCACTAACACGAATAGTGTTTTGGGCAGAATGATTGATGTTTACGTAAATTTGAGTGGGTAAATCCCCAGGAATAATGTGGGGGGGGGGGGGGGGGGGGGGGGGGCAGAAGGTAAAGTCTTTGACAAGTTGCTAGCTTCCTGTCCCAGTGAAGGTCACTACAGATGATGGCCCTTGGGTAAATACCTTTTAAACAATTTATTCCCTCGAGACGTTCAGCAACTCCCGGCTACATCAGGGTACAAGTGACAGGATAACCAGCTTAGGCAATAGCCTTCTTTCCTTTGTGTATTACATGCCGATACAGCAGCCCTGTAGGCTATCTTCTCTTACAAGACGTGTGACACTACCCAATCATTCGTTACAATAATAATAATAATAAAAACCTACAAGCAGCAACAATCAATTTAAGCAATTGTCACTGGCCATAATCATTACTTTAGTACAGGTATAATAATAATTTGTTTGCAAGACAACAATGGGTTTGTGAGATTACAGAGATTGGTATTTTTACATTCATGCAAAGCCACTAATAAGCATAGCATTTTGGGCAGGTTCTTAATCTAACATATCAGGTAAGATGAATAGGTACATTGTAGCAAGGTTTTATATCAACAAATACCTACAATATAAGTTGACAGCGGTGATTACACTGGTAAGGACATGTGTCTTAAGTACAGTACTAATATTGGGGGAAGTGGGTAGTACAAGATAGTGTGAGTTTGAAGCACAAGGTAAGAAACTATGAGGATGAAATTAGGTACTTTTTGGTTTTACTTTTGAACAGTGCATAGGTTGGACAATTTTTTAATTCATCAGGGAGTGAGTTCCAAAGACTGGGCCCTTTTATTTGCATGGAGTGTTTGCACAGACTTAGTCTGACTCTGAGGATATCAAAGACATATTTATTTCTGGTGTGGTACTCATGGGTTCTATTACATCAAGGAAAAGTTTTAAATCAAGATCACCATTTAGGAACAAGGTTTTGTACATGCAGATAGCATATGAGTATGTGTGGAGTATGTGTAGCATGATAAGGGACTTAGATAGAGGGGCTGTGTGTTGTTTGAAGACAGTTGATTATAGTTCTGATAGCAGATTTTTGCTGAGTGATGATAGCAGGAGGCAATTTGCAGGTGGTTGAACCCCCCATGCACAGGTACCGTATGCAAGATAGGGATAAATTAGCACGTAGTATAATGGGAGGAGAGCAGAGTGGGTTATGTGGATTATAATGAGGCTGAGTAATATACATCACACACATGCTGGAACACATTTAGCTTGTATTAGCACACATTCAACATACAATGTCGGCGACGCTTGTAGATATGACGTGCAGGTTGGCATACACCCGACACAGGTTGGCATACACCACGACACAGGCAAGCATACACGACACAGGCTAACATACACCCCAACACAGGCTGACATACACGACACAGGCTGACATACACCCCAACACAGGCTGACATACACGACACAGGCTGACATACACGACACAGGCTGACATACACCCCAACACAGGCTGACATACACGACACATGCTAGCCTACACCCCAACACAGGCTACCATACACGACACAGGCTGACATAGACAACACAGGCTGACATACACGACACAGGCTGACATACACCCCAACACAGGCTGACATACACGACACAGGCTGACATACACGACACAGGCTGACATACACCCCAACACAGGCTGACATACACGACACATGCTAGCATACACCCCAACACAGGCTACCATACACGACACATGCTAACCTACACCCCAACACAGGCTACCATACAAATATTGACCCAAGTTACCATACAATACAAATGTTACAAATATAATAAATAACTTTTATATTTCTCTGTATATATATACACATATATATAAGCACCAAAGCAAGAACACGACCCATAGACCATGGCTTTACCCGGAGACAATCGCTGGGTCGTGGAGGCACTTGAGACAGTCACGAGACACTCATAGTGACACACTCACAACAGGAAAATACATAGGTGTGTGTGTGTGTATGTGTGTGTGTATATGTGACGTTGATGCCAGCTAACGTCTTAGGCAATATTTGTGACACACTTAAAATCTTCCTCAAGTGTGTGTCTCTCTTTCTCGTCTCGTGTAGTGGTTAATGGATAATATTTTTAACTGAGGTTGGGCTGGTAAGTGCACTTGAGCCACCTGGGGGTGATTATTTTGTGGTAATTAAAGCTCACCGAGGAGATTTATATGTCAGCCTCCCTCCCCCTCTCTGACGCCTGAGTGAACCATCTTTTTCCCCCAGTGAAGCAACGAAGCTCTCCAGTGAAGCCGTTCCGAAACACGGGAGCACAGAGAGTATATGTTATTTATTGATTTATTGATTGATTGATTTATATATATGTGTACAAGAAGGTACATTGTGTTTATGAGAGGACATAGCATTGATGTTTTTACATTCTTGTAATGCCATTAACGCGCATAAAGTTTCGGGCAGTTTCATGTGTTTCAAGCTTCCCTAAGGTATAGCAAGCTTAAACGTGAGACCACATGGCGCTCCTGATATTGTTAAATACTCAAATAAGTTATTGATATGTCAGGTGCAGTGCTGTGGATTTCAAAATAGCCAATAAGATAAGCCAACAAAATTTACCAATCAAGCTGTCAATGTAATCAATCAGAGCTTTAATATACCAATGTGCTCTAATATACTTACTAATCTCTCTCATCTATTTTTTTCTTGCAATGTATTTGTTATCATTTTATTAATTCTGCTAGAATTTACCTACTTAAAATTATCTATTAGATTAAGAACCTGCCCGAAACGCTGCGCGTACTAGTGGCTTTACAAGATTGTAAATACTATGCAATGTATTCTCACAAACCCAATGTACCTTCTTGTATATAAATAAATAAATAAATAAATAAATAAAAATAAATAAATACGGTCCATAGAATTACCCAAATCAGCCCAAATCGGCCCAAAACTACACAAATCGTCCTAGCATTACGTAAGTAATGAAGAAATATAGTATATTTACTTACTATAATGTTGGTGCTACACGTAGAACATGATCAAACCTATTTTTACTCTGAAATAATCTAATTTCATAACGAAATGAGACGTAAATATGTGAGAGGTGACGCCATAGGAAGTCGATGGTCCAAGCGACAATTGTGTGGAGCGACTTATCCAAGAAATATGGTCGCCAGGACAGTGTTTGCTGCCATATCAGCCTCCTGTACACAGTGATCCAGTCCTTTTCGTTCATTGAACACCGAACCCTACACGCCCTCTGATATATTGCTTAATTAACAAATATTCACAAATAAAGATTATATTTGTATATGTTATCAGAAAGGCAGATATAAAATAGTTTTTGTGAATCCATCACAGAGATTATACCTTATTAGAGAGGAAAAATATTCATACTTTAAACAAGGCTTCATGGCCGACGCTCTCCTTACCGATATAGGAACTATGACCTTCCGAAGATCAATGTTAATTTAATCTAGATATTGTAATAAACGAAGTTTTCTATGTCATCATAAAGACATAAATATAAGCTGCATGTTAATACTTTGGCATAAATATAACTGAAGTGAAAGTGAAGATATATGCCTTTTTATAGTTACTTGATGGCTCGCTCAGGGAGTGTGAAGGCCTCCACACAAGCCAATCAATTTTATAATTACTTTGCATATATGCAAAGTAACGCCATAGGTCTTTATGTCAGAATAAAGACATGTAGACGATAATGTAACTACATTTCAAGGAAAACATATCTTAATATAATTATTAAATGAATGCAAAGTTATGGTTAAATAAATAGCCAATACCACACAATCGCCGGTGTCCGGACACATGAATAGTCGCATTAGGTGAAAGGAAATGTACCCAACCATTTCCATTTACCCAACCAGTTTGTGCACCCTATACTCATCCTCTGTGCGGTAATTTATTGTGCACCCCATACTCATCTTGTTACCGGTAGTTTGTGCAACCCATACTCATCCTGTGACCCGTAATTTATTGTGCATCCCATACTCATCCTGTTACCGGTAGTTTGTGCAGCCCATACCCATCCTGTGACCTGTAATTTATTGTGCAACCCATACTTATCCTGTGACCTGTAGTTTATTGTGCAGCTAATACTCAACCTGTGAGTCACAGGACATTGCGCAACCCTTTCTCATCGTGTGAATCTTTGTTTACTTTGCTCTCCATATTCATCCTCTGCGCGATAGTTTCTTGTGCAACCCATACCCATGATGTGAGTGGTAGTTTATTGTGTACCCTATACTCATCCTGTGAGTATAGGGCGACCCTTTTGGAAACGCATGGAAACGCAACACTTGGGTTGACCCGATTGACGGACTGGTTATATTCCAACAGGGTCTGAGATATTTGCACTGGCGGGCGGCGTTCTTGCCAACTATATGGCTGTTAAGTTGAAAATTGTAACTGTTAAGAGCATTCTATTGTGGTTTTAATATTGAACAATTATACATATACGAAACAGACAAATCTGGTGTCCGAAATAGTAAAAATATTAGTGTGCGATGTGATCAATGTAAGGGGGATATTGGGTGTGCCTCGTATCCCCTACAACAACAAGAAGTTCGAGAGCGATGAGGCCGCCACCTACTAGCTTCAGGATGTCGTCGAATCTAAATCAACAATATACTACCGCCGCTACTTTCTCGGAAACGTAAGTACCTGCCGCTTTACTTCTCTCACCCTGCCTAGCCTGGCCTGGCCTGACCTGACCTGGCCTGACCTGGCCTAGCCAGACCTGACCAGACCTGACCTGGCCTAGCCTTACCTAGCCTAGTCTGACCTGGCCTAGTCTGACCTGACCTGGCCTAGCCTTACCCAACACTAATCACCACACGTGACAGCCCAAACGAATCGCAAATAAGTACACGTAACAAGTCATATGCCCGGACACTCTTTCACCTTGGGGACTGAGTGGTAACTATTGTATAGAAGAGCCGGCTCCCTGAGAGTGGTAAGAGGGCGTGATAAGAGGCTAACGTGTGGTCTTGAAGGAAGTCGATAAAGCAGACAATTTTCAAAAGGAAGGGCAGTATAACGAGCAGACAGGAATGGACAGACAGTTGGTTATCCCATAATGTGTAATACGCCCCGCACAGCATGGGTGGAGTTGGGGGGGGGGGGGGGTTGTAGCAGGGCACAGTATGGTGATGGTGCGGCTGAAGTACACACCCACTGAATTCCTGCCATCAATATTTGTTTTCATAACCATTAGAACAATGGCATCCCTCCAGCCACCATCCTTCCACTGACCCCCTCCTCTGGTCCTCCACCTCAGACAATAACCCCCCACACCCCCTCTCCCTTCCAGACATCAGCATGTCAAAATCAGTACCATAATGTGTTTAAACTATTTAAACTAAGTCATTGTGTATCTCAAGGTATCTTAATTCATTTGAAAGTGTACATGTGCATTCGTTCATATACTCGCCTAATTGTGCTTGCTGGGGTTGAGCTCTGGCTCTTTAGTTCCACCTCTCAACCATCAATCAACAGGTGTACAGGTTTCTGAGCCTATTGGGCTCTATCATATCTACACTTGAACCTGTGTATGGAGTCAGCCTCCACCACATCACTTACTAATACATTCCATTAGATATAATCATATATGATTACACATAATCATAATCATTCCATACACATAATCATATATGTGTACGTCAACGTATACATACATGCGTATATATACCTCATATTAAAATACTGATAAACGAATGACCATGAACAAATTAATTTATAATTGTAGCACTATATATAATTTTAATAGACTAATTACGTGTTTATACATTTGAATGGTCCAGACAGGTGGCCAGCCTTGGACATATACACTTCTGGTAGGCACAATGACCTCATGTTAGACCCTTGATAGATTATGTGAGAGAGAGAGAGAGCTGGGGCAGGGAGGTGCGTGCCCCAGGGAGATAATCCATGCCCATGCCCCGCCTCGAGGTCAGTTCTCGAGTCACACCAAGAATAACAATCGAGCAAGTTGTCCTGACCAGGATGTGGCATATTAGGGAGGGTTGAGGAATAGGAAGCCTGTCTGATAGGGCTCTTGGCAAGCAGCTCTCCCTCAGTCTACCTATCTATATGGAAGAAATGTATCTAGGCCCTCCTCCCCCCTGCCTATTCTCTCTCCCCCACCTTTCTTCCTTCATTTCCTCCCTCCTTCCCTCCCCCTCACTGGTGAGAGAGTAGGAGTGTGAGTGGTTAGAGAACTCGTAGTTCTCACGCTCGTGAAATTGTCTGCGACCCTGGAGGAGTAGAGCGGAGGGGGGGTGAAAGTAGGTGACGATGGAGGAGTAGAGGGGAGCATTATATGCAGTGAACGTAGGTGTCTATGGAAGAGTACATCATAGAGGAGGGTGAAAGGAAGGTGACGATGGAGGAGGAGAAGGGAGGGGGTGTGAAGGTAGGTGATGATGGAGGAGTAGAGGGGAGGAGGGGGGCAAAAGTAGGTGTCTATGGAAGAGTACATCATAGAGGGGGGTGAAGGTAGGTGGCGATGGAGTAGAGCAAAAGGGGTGGGGGTTGAAAGTAATCTTGAGTTTAATTTTTTAGTTATATATAGTGACACCTCGGCTTACGAATGAATATTTATGAACTTTTCGGGTTACGAGCCTAATTTCTTCGAAAAATTTGAATCGGGTTACAAACTTAGCCTCGGGAAAGGAGTTTGTTGATATACGTATGGGCTGACCTAGCGCGTGGTGGCATGGTGATCGCGCCTCAGTTTACCAGTGTCTCCTGCCTAGTAAGTATCGCGCCTGAATTCTTTGTAAAGCATTACATTTGTTTTGGGATTTTTGGCTATTTGAACATAAAATTTGTTATGATATATCTTGCCATGAGTCCCAAGAAAGCCAGTGGTAAGGTTCAAGCCAAGAAAACACATGTGAGAATGACCATAGAGGAAAAACAAGAGAGCATTCATAAACATCAAAATGGTGCACAGGTTGTTGAACTAGCTAGGCAGTACAACAAATCTATGTCAACAATATGCACTATACTTGCTAAGAAGAAGGACATTATGAGCATTAAAGTGGCAAAGGGCATATCAACAATCCCGAAACAAAGAACACAAACACTTGAGGATGTTAAAAAGTTTTTAT